CGAAAAGGCATTGAGTGCATGAGAGAGGTCAGAAGATGCTCCACATTCAAAATTTTTTGCTGCGTCCTTAAAGGGTGCTTCTTAGTATGTATGTGTGTTTTTGTTATGTCCTCGCAAAGCGATATAGTTATTTTGACTGGCCTTCTACCACCAACTGCACCTAGTCACAATCGCCTACGCGCCTACCAAATTCCTTTTTCGTCAGTAATACAAGAGGGTTATATTCTAGGAATAGAAAGCACTGCTAGTAGCAACAGCGCACAATGTTGACAACGAAAATAACAATGCTGATGAAATGCGAGATATTGGGGGCAACATGCAGTAGCTCCAGTAATTCCGGCAGTTAACACAAACATGGGCAGCAAGGTGTGCAACGTGCATGCGCTGTGGCGAGAGCAACCGTTAAAAGAGAGAAGTCGCAATTTGTCATCGAGAGTAATATGTTGAGAGAATAAGCCTCAAAGTCGAATTTTCGCAAATGAGCCACAGAGACCATTGCATTCGGTATGTTGGGCGCAGAGGTGTTGTCACCTTCGTTGATGGCCAATTGGGCGAAAACGGAATTTCGAGGGAAATTTCTTTAGACATCATTCGTTTTGTTGTTAGTACACAAACATCCTTTTTCCTGTTTTTGTCGGTGCTCTGCGCTCGTTTACTGCGTGGTTGACTGCTTGTCTAACTGGACTGGCGCAATGGTATATAGCAGTTAGCTCGCAAACAGTTAGTTAGTGGTAGTTGCTTCTCGCTGGCCAGCGACATGATTCAGAGTGAATCACAACATCGACGAATGCGGACACTCTGTTAGTTCGCGGTTGAAAAGTGGCCCGTTCGGTGCTTGAAGAAAGTCAAGCCAATCAACCAGCAGCCCAACAAGCCACAAAGCCAGTTAGTCAGCTAGTAGCAGCCAACTAATAATCAAGCTGTAAAAAATTAAGTGTAACAATGTGTTGGTAACGTATTTTGCCAAAAGTGATGGTACCAGCTGCCGCACCTTTCATCTACACCAGCGGCTACCTAGCAGCTTGAGGCGTTTGTGCGTTGCAGCTTTAAAAACAACAGTGCTAAAAGGTGTGTGCGTGTATATATACATACATATACATATACATATATGTGTGTGCTTGTAACTAAACCAAATAAAGTACAAAGTGTAAATTTTTTAATTGCAAACATTTGTTTTGCGGTTTCGCAAAAAAAAAAAAAAAATAATAATAATAATAATAATAAATTCTATACTATAGAAGATTATTAAATAAATGTGGAATTGTGGAAATTTTTCGATTTATTATATGCAGACTTTTGCCAAAGCTATAAAGTTATTTTTTTTTTTCATAAAACTGCGCCACAACGTTAGGGGCTTCGGTGACAAGCAGAGAAAATTGTGTGTTAATGCGACAACGAACAAAATAAGGAAGATAAAAATAAACACAAACAACACCTAATACAGCAATCCACAGCAGCAGCAGGCGGGCAGACAGCAGAGGCAGGTTGACTCGCCCAAAAGACCCACACTGCCAACACTATCGTCGTCATCTTTGGCCACATTTATTTCTACATATGTACATAAATGTTACGAGCATACATATATACATATACATATAATTACAGCCATCTGCACATGTGTACTATAGCCAAATCGTATCGTTGGCGCTGCGTAGTTTCTGGTTTCTGCTCCCCAAATCTACACGTACATTTTGGTCTCAAGTGTAGATATGTATGTATGTTTATTTCAGTGTATTACATACGCATAGTCTACCTACATGCTTTGGTGAGCGCCTTTCAACTTTGCAGCCGCATTGACTCCGCACACCTGCGTCTACGTCAGCGTTTGAATGGCAGCAACGAGCATAATAATAATAAAGCTCCTTCGCATACTGAACCCTCTCAGCGGCAGCTGAAAAGCCCAGCCAACGCCGCAACCCCTCACTAAGCCTTCCAACATTCAACCAGCCAGCCGGCAATCTAGACTATCAACCTACATACATATGTATATGTAACTGCCCACCTTTCTAGCAACAGCAGCAGAGGCAAACCGAACAAAAAGCGCGCCTGAGCCAAACAAACCGGCTTTTATGAAATCTTTTCTCTTCTCAACTTTTTTTGGCCTTGCTTTGTTGCTATCCTCCTTTCTTAATTCGCATGTCACATTTATTTTTTGTTTTCCTCATGCATTTATACCAAAGTTTTCTCCACGCGTTACTGGCTACCGACTTCGTCTCGCCACACATTTAGCCAAAGAGGAAAATACGGAGCGTTCCGCTCTTGTTGCCTTTTTGGGTTTTGTCTGAACTTTTTGTTATCATTGTGTGTGTTTTGTTTTTCGTAGTTTCTTTCCGTGTTTATTTGGCCGAAAAGTACAATAAAAATTTTGTTGTTGACAGCAAAAGTCACAAGTAAGTACGAAAATCAAATGGAAAGAAAACGAAGTAGAAAGTTGTGGCAACTCAGTGCGGCTTTGGGAGCAAACAAAACTGAAAAGCATGAAAACATAAATAAGTAGAATTCAACTCAGAACTCTTGGCGGCTTTAAGCCGAGTAATTTGTCAAGTATTTACATATGTTTTATAGTTGGTCGCGTACAGCCAATTGATATGTGTCGCACTTAGCGTTTTAATTGTACATATATTTATACTCTGAACAGGATACATTAAGTTTGCCACGAAGTTTGTAACACCAAGAAGAAAACATCAAAGACCCTGTAAACTATAATTATAAATGAATATGACGAGCTGATTCTATTTAGTCATGTTCGTCTGTCTGTCTGTATATGTGTCCCGTATACTAGTCCCTCCATTTTGTGAGATATCGATCTGAAATTTGCATATAATATGTCCTTTTCTCCTCAACAAGCTAATAATTTGTCGAAATTGATATCGGACTGTTATGGCATATAGTTGCCATAATATGGATCCAAATCAAATTCTTCTATGGAAAACTTCTTTATTTGAAAAGGTATATTTACAAAATTTGGTATGTCCAAGGCCGAACAATTATAGTATTAGCTGCCATACAAACTGACTGATCAAAATCAATTTCTTGTATGGAAACTTTTTTATTTGAGAAAGGTATAATATTACAGCTTCGGTGTAACTTCGGTTAACGTTTTTCTTGTTTTAAGTAATATTAATGAACTATTCTGTTCGAATTTTTATATTGAATTAACTTTATGGATGTGTTAATTCAATATTAAAAACGTACTTATATGTATGTATTTAAAATATACATATATATGTATGGTATATGCATGTACATATCTACTTATATTTTATATATAATTATATTTTTATTTTGTGCTCTTCAATTCAACAGAAAATGTGTTTTAAAAAGATTTAAAAAGTTAATCATTATTTTGCATTCGCGTTCAGATATTATAATTAAGTACATTTGACGAGTCTGGCGGTGGGGCAAACAGGCGGAGGCAAAATCGAATCAAAAACAAAATTACACGTAGACAAATTAAGCTCGTGTGCGTTCACTTAATTTCTGTCTTAATTTTATTGCGATTTACTTTCATGAATTACAAAGCAAAAACTTTAAGTCAGAAATATATTTTGTGGATTACCTTGCTTTGTTTACTTATTTTGCCGTATACGAAAACTTAACCTAAAAACATGCGGTGTTTCAGCTGAAAAGCAAAAATATTGCAACAGACACTTGATATGTTCTCGTTCAACTTCATAAACTGTGCCAGTTCCTTTAAAATGTTTCTAAAAATAATTGTAGAGAGAAAAAAAAGAAGTCTAATATGAAATTCCAAACAGCGGTTTAAAAATGTATCATTAATTTTTAGTCGCACATATCGAATTTAAAAAAAATAATAATCTTTAGCTTATAACTAAAAATTGGAACCAAATTTTGTTTAGAATTTACTGTTGTTGTTGTTGTTGTTGTAGCGGCAGAATTCTGCCGAGTTGACAGTCCTTGGCCGGAATAAATCCGGGTCCGTTCCGATTACGTAGACCCGACTGTCGTGGGAACGGTCTTAGACGGTTTAGAATTTACTCTTCTTTCACGTTGGCATACTTCGTGTTCTACCCTTTTTAAGGGGTTACATTTTTTTTTCTATATAAAATTTTTTTATTTAATTCAAACTTTTTTCTGTCTTAAATATTTCTGTCTAAAGAATAATTTCTGAGATTTTCAAAAAAAAAAAAATGAAACTCCGTAATTGTAACGTCATTACCGGTGACCGCTCGAAAAAAAGGTGCGTCCGCGTTCATCATCTAAAATGAAAAAAAAAATGTGTTTTAGTTAAGACCATAAACTTGTACTTGAACGCAGAAAGTTAAAATTGGAATTTTGGCAGACTTTTTTACAACAAAAATGAAAATTTCAGTCAAATTCGCTCGACATATTTTTTTAATAGTTGTACTCAAATGGTTGAGTAGTTCGTGAGAAATCTTGACAACCGACTTTGAAAACACAGTTTCGTGAAAAACACGTTGAAAGTTTTAAGTGACCATATAGCTGACCTCGAGCGCGCAACTTTTCAAAGCTGTATCTCGAAAACTATTACTGGTATCAACTTGAGAATTTAGGACAATATTCTAGAGATGTTATAGAATTAAATAAGACAAAAATTAATCTTTGGGTTTTTTGAAGCCTTGAAACCTATGTAACCCCTTAACTCACACAGAGCCATCATCTTCAATACTCTAGAGCAGTGGTTGGCATTCTTAACCATTCAAAGATTTGTATTTAATTAATTTTTAATCCCAGATGAGGGAGATTAAAAAAAAAAATTTAAATGATTATTAAATAAAAAATAAAATTTTAATTTTTTAATCCCAAACATCTTGAGTTAAGCACTAAATTTTCAATCAGAAATCAAAATTGATTAGAAACTGAAAATAAAATTTTTGTAGCAGCAAAATTTTTGATGTAAAGAATTTCCAATCTTGATATTTAGAAAACTTTGTCAAAGCTTATAACTAAAATATCAAATTTGATTTTTTAATTTCATAATTCTTATATCATATTTGTCTATTTCTTTCTCTTTGCAGTTGTCCTTCGGCTTTGGTTTCAATATAGTGTTAAAGAAGTAAACAAAAAATAAATAATAATAATAATGTTGTAAATACATAAAAATATGTATATGCATACATACTAATATTGAGCTATTAGTAGTAATCCAGAAAATGTATCTTAACGCAAAACCATTTATCTTATAGATTAAAACGACATCAGAGAAGTTTTTAAAGTTTTTTAATTTTAAGTTAAAATCAGATTTAAATAACAAAGAAAATGAATAAATAACGAAGTAAAATTATTTAAAAAAATATAAATAAAAGTTTCAACATCAGCAACGTTGAAATTTCCAACAAACGAGTTGAAAAAAAACATCAACGGAGTTCAAAATTAAAAAAAAAAAGTCACAAAAAATAACCTAGCAAATATATGAAAAAAAAGAATTGCCGATAGCACTGAAAAATAAATAAACGTAAAGAATACGAATGACGCGTGAAACTGTTGCTGCAGCAACGTTAACAATCGACGACCATACAACGACAGCTGACAACAACACATGTGCGAGTAGAGTAGCCATAGCACCAGCAACGATTGCACCTTTGGCACCGAGTGTGAAGCGTGCAAATCACAGTAGAGGACATTTGTCGAAATTTAATTCGACAACGGCAACAACATCCAATTGTTATAACTCATACAACCGCGATAAGACTCGCTCGACCACACTTTTGAAATCAATAACGACGAAGCGACGCGGCGGCGATTTTATTGTATTGCATTAAGTTTGCAAATAATTTTTGCATTGCATCGGTTAGCGAATACAAATGAAAACGTCGCTTGTGAACGCGTTCAATTTCGACTACTCCAGTCGCCCCGTGTACGAGGGCGAACAACGGCACGTACTTCAATACGAGCAGCAACAGCTGCAACAGGACCAACTGCAGGCCGAACAAGACGAGCCTCAGCAGCAACAAGAACAGACACAACAACATCAACGCCATCATCAAACGCCGCATACGAATCATCAAGTACAACAACAACAAAAACAACAGACTCGTCAACAGCTTCAGCGATATCACGAGAAGCAGTCCGAACCAGAGCAGCAAGAAGAAAATTCTGCCGCAACCACTTCGACAATTGTCTACCCATTCGCAGCGCATATAAAGCACTCGCCGTGCGATTTTGAGGACGCTGAACAACAAAATCAACAGCAAAAACATCGGCACAACCGTGCAGGTACAGTCATCGCTGAAACTATAGCAGATAGTAGCGACGACGATATAAGCGGTGATAATAATTTGGCGCAGAGTGTAATTTATATTGACGATAGCGATCAACCGCTGGAGCAGAGGCAACCGCTGAAAGAGACCAACGGTGATAACTGTGTCATCACCAGCAGCAACAGCAACAACAACCACAACAATAATAATAATAATAGTAAACTTGCCATTAATAACGAGATAAGTGTAGTTACATCGACGAGGAGGCAGCAATCGTCCGCTATACGCTATCCCTCCTCCTCCGCTTCGAGCAAATACCATCAGACTAATCAGCAGCAGCAGAGGCAGTCGTTGCAGCAGAAAATATCGAGCAAACGCAAGCGTGAAACAGGTGAGTGACAAAATAATATTATATAATATACTTATCTATAATAAAATTAATTTTTCCAACTAAATCAACAGCCGTGGCGTAAAATAAGCGTAAATATTCAAATATGCATCTAGAACAATTAACACTTTGATAAATTGAAGTTCGCTAAGTTTTTTGGTCCCACACGTGCCCCAATACATTCGCATTTTGTCCTGTTCGACAGTGAAATATGTATGTAATCCGAGACAAATACTACAATGAAAGTAATTTAAAATTCCGATAATTACAATAAAATAACAAAGTAATTGATTATATGCATATGTACAAGTATGTATGATCGAAAATACAACAAAACCTGTTCTTCAACATTCCATTTTTGCACTGGAGACTTGCCCTTTACTACAGACAAAGCTTGGTCAACTTCAATATGTTACAAATGTGTCGCACTTGTTACAAAATTAACATATTTCTATTAATTCTGATTTATGTTCAGATTAAGAAGAATTTTAAAGCTAAACCAAAATTTTGCACTCCACGAAAATGGATCACTAACACATCATAAATCTCTTATGAAATGCGTTCGACCCCTATTATCGTAATTTTCTTCATGGTCTAACATGTTTTATAAAATTAAATACATAAATATCTTTCACTCTAGCAAATTAATTTTCGCAACTATGTACTAAAAGTAATCGTATCGGGTGAAATTTCGTAACGTGTCTTGTAGCCGGATCGCCCCACTCGATACGAAACGAATGGAAATTCTATGCAATAATTTCCCTTTTTTCTACGAACGAGTACTCGCTATCGAATGACGAAATCTAAAATTTCGATAGCGAATACCGCGATCTAAAAACAAAAAAAAAACACAAAAATTTCGCTCGTTAACTAGTCGGGCCCAGATGTTTTATTTGTAAAAGCATTGTCAAGTGCATTTGAGATCTTGACAATTTATAAGATTTTTTTTTGTTTTAAGAATGTCATAATTAGATTTGTATAAATGGCCAATCCATAAGAGTTGTTTGGACTATTCGGGTGAATTTATTGATTGTACGTAGGTTGTTTTTTATATTTCGGGATTTGGTCATAACATCGTGACAGGGATGAATCGTGGATTTACCCGTATGAGCTCGAAAGTAAACAGCAGTCGAAACCCAACCGCCGAGGACGAATCACACTTCAATACGACAAATGTGGGCTCTCACACGTGGACTAAAACAACTGCATTTTGAGCACTCAAATCATCGATTTAATGAGTCATCCACCGTATAGTCCTGACTTGGGACCGAATGACTTCCTTTTATTCCCGTACGGAAATAATTAAACTAAGTGGTCAATGTTTTTCGACACCTGAAAAGGTTGATACGTTCAGAACTCAGGTTTTGGAGATACCTCAATCAGAGTGGCAAATGTTTTCAATTTATTTCAAAGACTTACAAAAGTGTATAGATTGGAGAATTTTTTTTTATAAACAATAAAGCATATTTTATAAATATAAAAGACAACCTTCGTTTGTTGTAGTTTAGTAAAATCTCCGTTAAAGTTACGGCTTTGTTGTTTGTTATCTGAAATATTTTATAAGACTATTCATGTTGCAATGTTTTTTTTTTTTTTTTTTTTTTTTGTATATGTAGTTATTACTTCGATCAAGAGGTTATAGTCTATGTTTAAACGGAATAAATGGAAAGCCTGTAACATTTAACTCGTAAGGGATAACTTTTGAGAATGTGGTGTAGATAAGTTAGTTTCAAACTTTTGCAGCTGTATATACATAAATAAAACATGTTTTAGGGAGTATACCCCTTATTATTCATTTAAAACATATCAAATTGGTTGATGTGGGCAATATTTTGTCTATCATTATAACATATATTTCATTTCGGCGTACTACAAATTTTCTCGTTTTACCGCTCTCACCCTACCCATGGTAATTTTCCGCAGTTTACTGAAAAGAAATATCAGACGAATGTGTTATCTACGAAATTCTACACCTATAAAAACTCGGAACGAATTGACAAAAGCAGATATACATATACAGTAAAAAAGAAATACTTTATATGTCCATATACTGCCTTCTATTTAGCTCAAGTGGAAAACTTTGATGCCGCTTTCTTGAGAAACGATCAGAGTTCAAACCTAGCGAGTAGGGAAGTTAATAGAAGCCGACTAATATAATACATGCTTGCATGGAAAAATTAACCTAGAGATTACTTGCTTGCAATAAGTGATAAGCGGTGACCAATTGCTTATGGAGACGCTCACGTGGACATGCACTCGTAGAACACATCTGCTCTCTCTTTTGAACTGGCAACGCACAACCCCTAAGTTATTTTGCATTTAACTGTGATAAATTTTCAAATAAAAAAATAAATGGTAAAAACAACTACTTGGCATACTGCATACATACAAATATATGTATGTATATTGTTTATTGTTGGTTACAGTTTTGTAGTTATCAGTTTCATTCTCGCATATGACACTTTTATAATACAAAAAGGCAATAGCAAGGTAAAAGAGCGCAAAGAAAATTTATATGAATGCTTGTATATGCTGTTAATATTCATATTTTTGTATTGGTCTGACTTTTCAGCGAGACGCCGGCTCGTTTCTTGCTATCTCCATTCTACGCCATATCAAAACAATTTTTGCTTGTTATTACCGTGCATGCATATGTATGTATGCGCATGTGTACAATGCATATATTTGTCTTTTTAGCACTTACTGTGGTCTTATATTTCGCTTGTGTCGGCGTGTATTTTGTTTATTGCGCCTTAGTTATAGTAATAATTTGTGTCTTTTTTCGTCCCCAACGTTGTTCTCGCCATTTGTTTGCGTACTCTGTCCAACAATGAGCTCGTTTATACCATAATCGATTCTCTTTGCCCCCTCGGAATTCATAGCCTGCTAAATTCTGGCCGTTAAGCAGCTCCACAGTGGTTCGTTCTGGATTTTATTTGCTTGTATTTACGAGGCCATATGTACTTTCAAAATAAGTGTACTTACACTAACGTAGAGTCCACGAAATAAGTACACAATTAAGAAAGCGAATTTGTCAAAGTACACAAGCGTTTTTCGAAAATTAATGCATGTAAGCAATTCCGACGTACTTGTCCGTTTTTGATGATAACCTGTAGGTAGCTTTTTTGTTTAATTTGCGCCCTTGTTCATTCAGAGCGAAATAGCAGCAAGACTTTTAAGATTTTTAAAGTGTGTTTGTGTTAAATAAATAATTATTAAGTAATTTTCACTTTAACGAACTTAATTTAATAATGAATTTAGAAAAGCCACCCGGAACCCATTTATCGCTTGTTGGGCGCACTATAATTCAAACGATGCGAAAATGTGGTGCTACAATAAGGTATATCGCCCAAAAATTACATCGTAATAAGAAAACCATATGTTCGATTTTAAAAAAGGCCGAAATTTATGGGACAACTAAAATAAGCAGGCGTTCTCCAAAGGTCGATGAACGGTCGAAGTGGCAAAAAAAGCGTTTGGCATTTAATAAAAACGTTACCCCAGCAAAAATTAGGCAGCAACTAAATTTAGAAGTGTCTGCCCGGCGAGTTCAGCAAATTTTAAAAGAGTATAAAAATATTCAAAATATCAAACGAGGCGCCTCAACCTAAGTTGCTACCTCGACATAAAACTGCAATGGTGCAATATGCCCAAAGGTGCTTGTTGTGGGATGACGAGCGGAAAAAAGTTATTTTAACTTAGACGGCCCCGACGGCAATGACAAATGTTGGATAGACAATGGTGCAACCCTGATTAGTTTTTTACCCCTTAAATTAATACGATGAGTTATGTTGAGCTATTAGACGGAACGGTTTTATGAGGCACTTTTGATACACAATGCACCTGCAATAAAGCGTTTCCTTTTGAACAGAAATATAGCATTAATGGACTGTCCCGCCATAAGCTCCGACTTAAACCCCATGGCAAATCTCTGGGGAATACTTTCACAACAAGTTTATTCCGCTGAGCGACAATTTCATTATGCTAGAGAGTTAGAGAGCTCTCTAATTGAATTCATGCCGAGACGTATAAATACCATTATTTTAGCTAACGGTAACCATACCAATTATTAATATTTTAAATAAGTTTGATTTTACATTAAATATTTTTTTGTACGCTATACTTTTTTCGTACCAAGTGAATTGAATTCTTGGGTTTTTTTTTCTCTATAAGTAATAATTTTTGTTTTTAAATATTGTGGTAATAAACATCTGGATTGATTCTATTAATAAAAATCATAAAAAAGTTTCATATGAAAAATAACGATTAATCGAAGAGATTTTTAGCATTACGCTATACTTATTTCGTGAACTATACACACTCATACGCATAAACAAATTGACGCCACGAAGCCAGTAATCTTCATGTTTTATTCATTTGCCTTTTTATTATATTTTTTTTTGTGTTACTTTTTAATTTTTAATCTTTTTTGGCTGGTTTGTTGTAGTGCTTACTTTATGGTAGTGTAAGGTACCTCTTGCCATATTATTTTGTTGGTTTTGTATATTATTATGGTCAACCCAGCGTGGTGGTCGAAAGCGTTTGTTTACTTGGCAGATACTTGAGTGCTTGTTTCATAGCTTTTTCCTTATTTCCTCCTATTATGTATTTCTTACTTTTGTTTAATTTTTTATTCTGTTTACTATTTTTGGTATTTTAGTTTTTGGTTATTTCTCTAACGAAAATGTTTATTTCTTTAGAAGTTGAAAACTTTTTTTTTCAAGCTGTCAAATTGCTTACTTTTTCAGCTTTTTTGTATGAAGAGCATGTTTTGCGGTTCATCAAGCGTAACATCGAAAACTAAACAAGTCTAACTCAAAAGTGGTAAAAACTTTTAATATAAATCTAACTAATCGAGTTAGATATAGGGTTATATATATATAAATGATCAGGATGAAGAGGCGAGTTGAAATCCGGGTGACTGTCTGTCCGTCCGTCCGTCCGTGCAAGCTCTAACTTGAGTAAAAATTGAGATATCTTTATGAAACTTGGTAGAGACGGTT